CAGACAAACTGGCTGCAACGCGTGAAAAAAGACCGGCGGCTGTGATTATATATATATATATTCCCCGCCTTCACATGTTACTGCAATCATGTTGCTGGATGTTGCTGGTGTATGTTACCATGTTTTGCCACGGGTGCGATCAAAGCTCATTACATCTAATGACTCTGAGAATCATAAAAGCCAGCCCAAAGAGTCTGGCAAAGCCAGCAGAAGCACGACACCGGTGGATGTAGCACAACCACGACAGGTCCGACAGATGAAATCACCAGCAGGCGAGCCTATCACGGGTGCCCGCACCAAAAGGATCGAGCCCTGCTGAAACATCGATCAATCCCCGGAGGTCACTGGGAAGGGACCTGAACTACCTGGATCTTGATAAAGGTGCCGGCAGCATCCCTTGCTGGGGGACCATGTGTTTCGGGACTTTGAGCGGTGAGTAGTTTTTCCCGATGCGTTGCGTTTGAATCAAATCATCTATCGATGACTCATGACTATAAGGATGTCTAAGTACATCCAAGTACCATGTATCCATGTACCATGTGCTAACAACGGCACATGTCATCCATGTCTTGCATCTAACACCGAGGTCCTTGAATGACTCCTGGAACCGAAGTCGGAGCAGCCTCAAAGGCGCAGCCTCACATGTCGGCTTCATGGGTGTTTGCTGCAGCTTTTGCAGGTGTTCTGTTCGATGTTGAGCAACACATGCGCCACTCCTTCGCCCTCACTTCGGCCCGGCCGATGGCCACCGGAGGTATTACCCAAGAGCTGTCCAAAGGGCGGTTGCTGGCCGGTCGTCGCAGTAGGGTCGACTCCTAGGGTTGGATGGACTGTTTTTGTTCGAGATCTTCAACCGAGGTATCCCAGGCTGTTGAACCAATTTGGGTATTTCTTTTGTATGTGTCATTGATATTTGATATTTGTTTCAGGTGTTTCAACTGAGATGTTAATGTTGCGTCACTTGTGCGGACATGCAGCGTAGCTTTACAAGCATGCGGAGCGAGCGAAGCTGGCAGGGAGATCCAACACCTCGATGAATGTCTCGATGAACTTCCTTCAGAAGGCATTGCTGATTGGAACCCTAATTTAAAAGGTTCTCAGAGTCTCTGAACAAACATCTACATAAGTCCCTTCAAAAGTCCCTTCGAATCAAGTCAGATTTTGGAGTTTTGAGTTGATCGCATGATCCTTGGTACATCCTTGATACCAGCAGAGAATCTCAAAGATTGCCGCCCCCTTCCCCACCGGTCCAGGAATCTCCGGTCCTATATAGATGTCCCTGTTTTCATGAGAAGTTCCGCAGATCCACTGATCCACGGCTCCTGAAATCCACTAGAATCCACTCACCTGTCCGAAATCCGATGGACGGATTCGATGCAAGCGCTGGTGCGCGGTACTCGAAGATATCCATGAAATCTCCCAAGATGTTTCACTCTGTAGGAAACCAGCACAAAAAACAAACAGCATGCGAAAAGTATCTCACATCAATTCTCCAACAGCGCTGGTGCTGTTGGAATCCCACTACTGGCACTGCTCCCGGTTCGCTAAAGGCTTTTCTTTGACAAAATCCATCTCGCGATGGGTCTGAACAAACAACAATGGAAGCACTTCCAAATCACTGAAATTCTGCGGGTTCACATGGATTCGGCGTTCTTTGATTTGCTGCCTCAACACAATCCTCTCCGAAGAGACTTTATGGTTTCGCTCTTGTCAAGTCTTGGCAGTGGTTCAGAGGGTTATATTACAAGTGACATTTTCGCTTCCCACCCTCCAGCAGTATGCCCTGGAATCCAGTCCTTGCAGAATGACTACGAGCAGCAGGCGCAATGGAACAGCAAGTAGCTTGGCTGAAGGCGAGCAGCGATGTGGTGGGATTATTTGTTTTCTCTTTCAGCTTCTTTCAGCCCAATTCCTTTCTTTCCCTATCCCAGGTCCTTTGGAGTATTTTTTAAATGACCGACGCAGACTAAAAGCTTGCTTTTGGTCTTTGACATCACAAAGCATCAACGCTAAACATATTTTTTAAACATAACAACTCAAACCATGCTGAAGTTCTTCCAAGCTCAGGTGGAGTTTTAAGCGCCGTCGGGATGGAGGTTTCTGGGCGAAGCCACTTGGGCAGATCAAGATGATCAAGTGGAACAGATCATCCACCAGGCAGTATTAGGGACCAGGTGGAGGTCAGTACAATCAACAGTGAAGTTAGCTTTCTTTCCACATCTATCAGATTTACCTGGAAGATCCATATTTGATATATATATATATATATTTGCACTCAACAGCAAACAAGTCACTGTACATCTATCTCCAGCTGCTTGCTGTACATCGGGATGTGAGATCGGACCCGGCTGTTCTTGGCACTTCCTTGGAAGCTTCACACTTCTTTCAGCCGGCATTGGGCTAAAAGCGCCAGAGCCGCAGGCTGATGACAACTCACCCCACCTCAAACAGATTATATATGAGAATGTCCAGTCTGTGATTATGCTTCTTTCAGACTCCAACGTCTCTCAGATGCACCACCCTCTCCATTCTCCCATGTGCAGGGCTTTGACGTATCTCTTTTGGGCTTTGTCAAAGCTCCTGTAGCTGCACAATCCAAGGTGAGATCTCCATTCTTTGCCTTTCTGCCTGAGCGAGGATGATATGTGAGCTTGTTTGAACAGATGAGGACCACCCAGTGTGACACTAAGTAGAAGCAAAGGGATAAGCTGTCAAGCCCATCAACTTAGACAACGAGAAACAGATAGAACCAGTAAGGTGCAGAATTGTTACTACAGAGCACACCCTCCGGTGTAGCTTTTTGGCATGCCAACGTGCGATAATGTGTGACATATGGGATCTATTGCGACTTGCTCAACTGGGCACCATTTTGGTGGACATTTGCGGGAATATGATGATGGCAATTATCGGACTGGACTTTTGCAGTAGAATCGCGCGGAGTGGCGGCAAATGCCAAGTGTTTCTTTCATACGGCACTTTTGCTTGGGATTGGGCTTTCCTGGTAGTTGTAGTGTTGGGGGATCGGGTTGATCATCTCCGGCCTCACATTTCACTCGTGGCAAGAAATCTCCAGTCTCCTCAAGGGAGCTGGAGGAGTAGGTCGCTTTGCTTGGCCCGTAACGACTGCGACGATGGAACTCTATTTCTTGCCGTTCCGCAGCGCCATGACCTAGTGCTCAGCCTGCGCAAGCTTTCCTGAAGATGGGTTTCCCTAAGAACATTCAAGTGGAAAAGGGGACCTTGATATTCCAACTGGGGGAGTTCCAGACATTGATGCCTTTGTGTCGTTTGGGGACACATGAAGCTCTTTTCGCAAGCTCAACTGTTGTACCTGGTTGTATTGCATGCATGATATTTAGAATATCGGTCAGTCCTAGAGTCCTGAGGTGGAGTCCGTGCACCCCTTCTGCAGAGTGGTGCCCTCCTCATGGGAAGAAGAGATAGGGCAGAGAGGTTACACCCAAGAAACCCTGACTGCATAGGAATCCTGGAGTAGTAGATGGAATATGGGAAAATAAAGAACATAGCAAAATATAGCAAGCTGGTCATGTTTTCGGAATGAGTCATATTCTATCTAATTACTTGAGGTTGGTTGTACACTCGTGGATCATTTTGGAGCTGGTGAAATGGAAGAAGGGAAGGTCATCCCCGTGATCCAACCCTCAGTTCCCGGCCAGTGTTGACAACTTCACTCAGCTCCGAGTACATCTCCAGGCAACAGAAGAAGCTTGCAGCTCGACAACCGCCGAACCCATTGGAGGGGTGTGATTCTAGGGGAAGCTGGGGGGATTGTGGTGTTCAATAATCGAATTGCGCCACATGTTGGCACCTTTGCCGCATGTTGGCGCCTTTGCCAACCCATGTATGAAGTAAACGGATATGCGCAGCACGGCGGGCCAGGTAAGGTACATAGAGCTTGAGCCTTTGTTTTGCACATCCTGTGGTTCCAAACTACTACCAACAAAAATAGGAAAGTATTGAAAAGTACTGTCATGGTTCGATCATGTTCGATCCATTTGCTTCCTACGGGGGGGCATCTTGCCGAGAAGGTGCATTGGAAGGTGCCAAGCGGATGTGTTGCACATTGATTCCCTCGTCAAAGCAGCGAGTCCAGCAGACTGAAAGATCGACAAACGGCGTGCCGGCGGCTGTGGTGTTGCCACCAGGGAAACTCTGGTGCCTTAAGCAGTTACCCATGAGACGAACCAACATCTGGGGAATTTGGGCATCTCTGCCAATAATCCTGGGTATATACTGCTTGGTGTCCTAAGAGGTTTGAACACCGAAACCGCAGAAGTCCAATCATGGCCGTCTACTGGGCCTAGCTCGGATCGATTCAGTCGGCTGACCTGAGTACGTGACCTCCGGAACCCGACTGTGTTGCGTGGATTGGTTGGGGTGGAGCCACACAAAAAGCGAAAGGCACACGAGAGTACACACGAGTACCATCCACACAAGTAGCTGCTGGTCCAATGGGTCCATCGAACGATGTTGAGACAGCAGAAGGGTTTTGACACTTATCAAGATCACCATGAAACAAACATAAACAAACATAGAATGTCACTTCTGACCGCTTTGTCTAGGCCCTCCAAACAAAACACCATTTCTATAGAGCGGTGGAGAACAGCCTGATCAACACGTAGTATTTCATTCAGCGGGGATTTGCTCAGCAAGCAGGTGGTTGTACTCGTACCCATTGATGCTTAGCTTTAGGGTGTCGGGCGTCGTTTCCCATTCCAACATGTCCTATCTATCCTTCATCACCGTTCTAGCCTTGCTACACATGAGACTCCACATAGCCTGTTGACCTTCGTGCCCTTATGGGATTTGGTGGAAATATGTGTTGCGAAGGTTTGGTCTCTAGACTATATAAATACATCAAACCTGAAAACCCTCAAACCAGTGCTCAGTGCAAATTTCTGCTCTGGCTCTTTTGGTCTGTCTTACAAATAGGAAAAGCCTCCAACCCATGGACAACTTGTGGTTTCATTTCTTTCTTCCTACTTGGGGTCGTTGGATCATGGAAACCCATCATGGTGACTTTTTCATGGTCACCTCTTCGTTCTTTTCCTGCACGAACCCACCTTCTCTGGGTCCAACAATTCGATCGACACAGGTTCCTTCCCTTCCCTCCGAAAACCACTCTCCCACCCTGCCCGAGGCTGGGAGTCTCGATCCGGTCGGGGGAACCCCAGTGGAGCGGGGGAGGAGAGGGGAGGTGCCAAGCTGTCATGGCTCGTGGCCGAAGAGATGGTGCAATGATGCCGGACCGTGCCGACCGTGCCGTCCGACATGTTTGGGTAAGAGACTGAATGCTTGAGAGATATTGAGACATTGTCTACCAGGTCTTGATTATCTTGGATTCTTAATGGGAAAGTCACTCTCATCCCAAAGTCCTGGGATGTTCAAACACCAAAGGGCCGCTTCATTTGTTATTCTTTTGTTCAGCTGCAACTTGGTTGAAAAGCCCCTTGCTTGGAGATGTTGCAAGTCTTGTGCAGGGAAGAGGTTAATAACGTTTGATTCTTGTACAAACGACACGCACACACATGTAGATGACTTGGCCTTCAGTTCACATCAGAATTCCAAAGGATTCTCTCGTGGGTTTCTGACGGACTGATGGACTCAACAGTAAAACATCCCGGTCAATGGCAAACCAAGGCCTCTTAGATACTGGCTCCAGCTTTAGCCACCTGGATCAGTGGCCAGGATATTACACATGTGGAGTACGTAACGTAGTGTTTCTTTTCTATGCCTTGCTCGCTATCGATACCTTGGAATTACACTGACTGGTGTTCTTGACCATCCAAATGAATCCATGACACATACATGGGAGCTACTGAACGTTTCGTGCTACCGAGCTCGTAACCTTAGCCATTGGCTCTTTGCAGCCGAACATGTTGCGTCAAAAAAGAACGTGAGAGCCATGGAAGAGCCACTTGAAATTTCTGAACTCGACATTTCCTGCAAATGCATACGTACCAACATGCAACAGCAGTTGTTGAAGAGATTTTCTTAAAGGCGCCATTTCATGTTGACATGCCGACTCAGTGCGCTAGCCACTTAACTTATACTTATGCTCCTTTAGAGTCCTTGAGTTCAACAGCTTTGATACTTCAGATAAGTTGTGGCCATAGTTGTGTGTTTGTTTGTAACCTCAAGCTGAGCTTTGCATTTTTTCTGGGCTGTCAATGGCCCACCAGCGCACACCAATATCCGATCCACATATCCGGTCACAAAAGACTTTTGATTAGACTCAAGATCGATCATGGCGGTCCCTATGAGGCAGGGAGTTTCGGAGAGACAAGTGCTAACTGGCACCCTGTTTGGTAAGGAGAGACTCGTCGCCTTCTTGTTTTGCAAATCGGTGCAAAAATATCCTTGGAATGAAAGAACATTCGCTTCAGATGGCTGGTAGGAAGTGGGTTTGTGCCCAGCGTGCCTTCTATTTTAATGTATTACATACTGTTGATGGACAAAATCCTGCACCACCTCACCACTTTACCCTAGAAGGGTCGCATAGCAACCCCTGTGCCCCCCTCATTCAATGTTGGCGCGACCCCTCTGAGGAGGTGGTGCAGGATTTTGGACCTTCAACTTGTTTTTGTTTTCTCACTGTGGTGGCCCCAATGTTAACAAGGGAGAACGAGGGCAGCAAGAAAAGTGTGCGCAAAGTGGTGCAGGATTTTGTCCATCAACAGTCTCGTTTCATTACTACAATCTCGTTTCAGTAATATTGCTCTACCAAGCTTGTTGTGTTAGTTTTTTGCGCCTACTTGCTGGCTAATGCAACTTTTTTGCTGCTCCGTTTGTTGTTTGCTATCCTTTGTTGGTGTTTACTATACTTGCTGTCACGTGACAAGGGATGTTGCGAGGGAAGTACACAGTGCTCGGACAGTGCTCTGACAGTGCTCAAAACAGTGCTCGGAAGTCAAAAACATGGAAAATACCAGCGATTCGGGCAGTAGCAATGCAAAACGATAGAAATTTAGAATTCTAGGCTTTTTATTGATTCATTTACCACTCCTGTGGCCATACCCACAGTATTTACAGGGTTTTGGTGCGCGGGTAGTGTCTGGAGCACTGTTGGAGCACTGTCCGGGCACTGTGGAGCACTGTGTTGCCATGTAGTCCCCGGCTGCGTTGTGTGCGCAGGAGTCAAAGCCATGGTCGCTCCAGGTTATGATGGCGCTCTACTCTGTTTGCTGTCCCCCACCCCTAGTGTCCTTCTTTGGCTCTTGTTACTGACGCTGCAACTCTTCTTCTATACGTGGCGCAACCCTCTGTCTCCGGCGTCACAAGTTTGTTCTTCCTGTGTCATTGGCTTCACAAGTTCTTTAGAATACTGTGTTGGCCCACCGCTGCTTGCTTGGCGCAACCCTGTGTCGGGTACTGTATGAGAGATCTTGTGAACAAAATAAAATGGTTCCTTCTGCAGAAAATAACTTGGTCTGAGACAATCTAGGTCATATCCGAACCACCCTTTTGGTTCGCGACTCAGAATGAAGGATAATACCGGGCATGTGCTCCAACACAATGGTGTTGGGCAAAATGTGCTTAAGAGCAGGGCGCAAAGTACTGACCACACGGGCCAGACTCGAGGCAGGTAGTTCTTCGAGTCCTCGGAAATCAAAGTTGGTCCCGTTCGCTTTTTGGGCGCTTTTGGGTCTCACACATACGCGAATTGACAAGGCAATGACCTAACGCATACTGAACCGGAAGATGAACGCTAGCCCAGACGTTGGGCATTCTTAAGACTTGTGGCTCACAAAGCTGGCAAGATTCGTACATACGATAAAATATGGTCTTTGGATATACACGGATACAGTCTGATGCATTGGCAAAGATCAGTAGGAACACCGTCACGCCGCCAGAGGCCCCGGGAAGGGTGCTGATAGGGGGTAAACTCCCCGATGTAATCATGGAAGTCGAAAACCATTTGATATCATTTGATTGTAGGCAAAAATGGTCGCCATCTACCACTTCCATTATTATTCCTGGGAGTGTAAGTGCTAGCGTATGCTAGCATTAGTGCTAGCATGCTCTTGCAACCAAGAACAAGTGATGTGATCTCGCCACGACCTTGACCAAGTTATCAGGAAGTTCTTCCTGATAAGCACCACCATGTGTAATATTCCATCTACCTGCAGATGAGTCGAAGCAAACCCAAAAACACGAAGCTTTCAGTTTTATTAGAAGCATTCCCAGGGTTCAGAAATCGCCGGTCGCTTGGCCACCGCTTGGAATTCCAATGTTCAAAGTGGATTTGATATACGATACCCTGCCGCGCTAGCAAAACACCTCATCTAGCTATTGGTGCTCCATATGTCCTAATATTTTGATCAAAGTTGTTTGGTGGGCCTGAGGTGTTGGCAAGGCATTCAAACACAACATTGTACATGCAGACCTGTTCTCCACATGCCAGCGACCTGCAAATGCTATGATTAGATGGGACAATGCTTTGGCTACCTTGTGTTGTTTGCTCAGATGACTTGCCCATGTCAATCTGCAAGTTCCTCGTTGCAGCAAGTTCCAAATTCATCCGTTGAACGCGCAAGTGGTACTTCTCTATGTCCCGCACCACTCAGGTTTATGCTTTTGGCAGGCGCACTGGTCACTTGTCGGCTCCACTGATATTGGGCCAGTGGCATGAGTTGACTGCGAACAAGCCGTTTTGTTTGTGCGCCAGCTGAGGACGGAGGAGTCCTTTAGGCGGTTTATGAATCAACAGCCAACATCATCAATGACCTTGTTAATTGAAATTATAGGGTCCCATGACCGGTCTGGGGCGATGCTTAAGTTGTTTAACGGACTGCACTCTATGCTCGCTGCACAGTGAACTTACATGGTTTGACTGTTTGACTTTCCAGGTTTCTTTTCCATCTATGTGCGACTCACCATGGAGAAGTTGCAGGGACTTTCAGGTTACGTTGCATCCAACATCATCCAACCATCCAACCCGGTGGTGCAAGATACAATCAAGGAGATCAAGCCAGTCCAAACTACATAGTGATGACATAGTGTTGTTCAAGCTGTTTCCGGGCCAGACTTTGCTTCGCGAGGCGCGCTGATGCTTCGTGTGCTTCCCGCCCAAAGTGAGAGCGAGGCATGACTCGGGGTGGGATGGAGCGATCAGATTGTTGATCCATTGTCAAATGGCATCGCTACTAGTAACAAGTGCATTACTACTAGTAACAAGAAACTGCGATGCCCTTGTTACTAGTAGCTTCTAGCTACTAGTGGTAACGCCCTTGTTACTAGTCGCGATGCCCTGGCTGTGGGTCAAAACCCGGAGCCCAAAACCCTGGTAGGTTGACCTCCCTTGTAGTCTATTCATGTCTATTCTGTTCATTTTTGGTGGTCAACCAGGCTCCCCTGTCTTGACCCACAGCCAAATGTTTGCTGTTTTGATTCTGACCAGTTCAATCACATGTTTGTCAAACAACACATTTGATCAGATCTGGATCTGATCTGGGGTTGTCACATTGCTGATGGGTCTTAGCACCACACACACCCGGGTGGTGGCAGGCAAACCGATCGTAGTTTGAGTTGCTTGGTTATTGTTTTTGCCAGTACTTGGTAATCCTGCAGGGCAATTGGGGTAGTCATGGACAAAACATGACGAAAGGGGCGGTCGTGAGACATTTGGCAGGATAGCACCTGTTCAGCGCAGGATGTCGATGCAGGCGCGTCATCCCGTTGCCGTGACTGACATAAGCCGCAGTCCATGCAGAATCACAACTGTTGGTCGTAGGTAATAGATGGTGGTAGCTTTCAATTCTACTTGGTAAGAGCTTATGGTACATCACACGCGCATCAGCTATCGTATCTAATACTACAGATTATGATGGTCTTGTTGCATGGTGATCTTCATAAGCGCCCAAAAGCTCAAAGAATCCCGAAGCCACATGTGCAGTCTCGAAGGATGCCCATTGGACTCATATGGATCTCTTTCGAAGATCCATCGCAGCATACAGCAGCTAGTGGTGTGGATGGTTATGGGCAACCTGCGAAGCAAACCATTTTGGGAGGATTTCTCTTGACATCTAAGTCTATAGCCCTTTGCTGAAAACAATTTTGCCGCCTAAGTTTGCTGGGGATAACCAGCACCAACAAGAAGGCCAAAATCCAGCTCAGCAACTGGAAGCTTTGCTTAGAGCTGCAGGGCCTTGTCGGGGGTGGCATCAATGCCAATAGCTGTTGGGAGAAGCATGCAGCCTTGGAGGCGATTAGGTTGAGGATCGGGTTGGTCTGTTCAAATTGTGTTCACAAAGCTGTACCTGAAAGGGTGGGAAACGAGGTTCCGTCCTCACCACCCACTCCGAAAACCATCATCATAGTCGAAGGAGTTGCCTTGCACAGCCTCACAGTGGCTTCACAAGTGCCACAGCGAGTTGGCCAGTGAAGGCCAGATTTACGTGAAGGAGGAACCAGACACTCAGGCATCCCCAAGCTTCTGATGAGTCACTTGTAGCTTTTAAGGATGTTGATGAACTAATTAATGCAATATATACGAATACATACACATATATATATATATACCAGGTGAATCGAACAGGTGCTTATTGGACGCCCCTTAAGCTAAAAAACCATTGGACGCCCCTTAGAAATCTAAGTGTTTGACAAGTGCTTTCGAGGGATCCTCGTGTAGAATCACAACTTTTGTAAGAGATCCATGTGAATGGACTGGATTTGGGGAATGTACCAACCCAGGGTCGATCACCGGTACAATTCGGGTCGATTCGGGTCGATCGCCAACGTGCCCTGAGGCAAGACCCAAAGAAAATCCCGATGTAAGATTTCCAAGTAACACATCCCCGATGTAAGAGAACCAAGTAAAAATCCCGATCTAAGATAACAAAGTGAAAAAAACGTAAGCCGCCTGCATGTCAATCCGTGTCATTCCGTGTCGGTGGCCAAAGCCCGAGGAAACCAAGGGGTGCTCATTGGACACCCCTTAAGCCTAAGGGGTGTCCAATGGACACCCCTTAGGAAAACCCGATGTAAGCCCACACCGTGTCATTCCATGTCGCCCGATCTCGATTTTCGTGGTTCAGCCCATCGGGATTTTTTTCACTTTGTTATCTTAGATCGGGATTGTTACTTGGTTCTCTTACATCGGGGATGAGTTACTTGGAAATCTTACATCGGGATTTTCCTTTGGGTCCTGAACTACGAATGGGTCCAGATGTTGAGGTTGGCCGCGGCACCAGGGCGCGTGGCGGATCGTGACGGATCGATCGAGACCCACGGTGGACTGGTTGGAGGCGTTTTCGCATTGGGAACCTTAGTTTTTTGTTGGTCCGTCATTCTTGGTTTTAAGGGGTGCTCATTGGACGCCCCTTACAGATAGATGAACATCAAAACTCACTAGACACCCCTTTGATTCGTCTGGTATGTATTAATACATCATCTATGTTATTATGCGGGTGTCATGTTGTATTTTGGCGGCTTTGGGACAATTATGGTCTTATTACTATATTCAGGAATATGTTGTATGATGTCTTAAGTTAAGTTAAAATGTTTAACAGTTCTTTTTTGAAATATATCGGACATTGTTGAAAGAAGGCATCGTGCTTGTTGGTAAAATAGTGTTATTTGTACATACTGTATTTGTTTACGATGAATATAAACATTAGAATTTTGATTTTTAGTTTGGTCTTCGACGTGTTCAATTGTGAACTATATGTGAATTGATTGGACAATTATTACTTTTGTTGAACTATGTAATTATGTGTTTTAAATGGTCACCACCAAGTTTGACAACTCCTACCAAACAAGGGGATGTCAGGCTTCTGATGATTGGGTTCGCCCCAGTCATAACAGCTTACACCATGGCCGGCAGCTCTACGTGAAATACTTGGAAGGAGCGGTAAATTGTTCAAAGCCACGCATGCTGCGCCACCTGAGTTCGAGTGGTTCTTACTGTATATATGTATATATATGTTTATACAGTTTCAGCATACAAGTTCACCTTTTTTCTCAGCTCATCAGCTGGGTGAATAAAGCTCCGTTTGTGATTTCAAACCGTAAGGCCTTGCGAAAAAGCCTCTCGTCAGGCCGTTGCACCATGGAAGAGCAACTGGTCGACTCGTTGGCCTCCGAACTGGATGGCGTCGCCAAGGTCGGGTGCTGCTGGCGGTTGACACGTCCCTGGCGGTTTCACTGCGCGGATTGTGTGTGTGTGTATCGTGTATTGTGTTTTGTTAGTTTGTGGTCCATCATTTAGTTGGCCTAGTGGCCTAGTTATACAATTCTTCCAACTTCAAATAATTTGTATGGTATCAGTTTGCATTGGCATGGAAGATGTTTTTTGGCTTCACACAGTTTCCCTGATGCCATAGGTTGCCGTTTAGAACACACCTGGCGAGTACCAGAAAAGGATGTGTTTTATAACTGTTTCAGATTCCTCTCGTTCAAGATGGGGTTCAGTTTGTCGAAAGCAAACTCTGCTGTGCTGGAGCCGGCTGACAGATTCATGCGAAGTTGGTGGTTGTGAGTTAAGAATCATGGTTGGCATCAGGACATCCAGAAGATTTGCCCCCTCTACGATTCACAATTGACGCCTGTAGCGTGTCTTGGCTAGCAAAGGGCCGGCTTTGTTGCGTTTCTGGAGCTCACCTGGTGACTCTTCTGTCGGGGCCGTGACGTGGATGGCTGAGGATGTGGCTCCTGGGCATTCTGAAACGGATCACCGGGAGGATGTCCATGTTGCAGGAGCCCTCAGTGAGCCCGAGCACCAGATGGGAGAAGTGCCTGGTGGGTTGTATGGCATGGTTTGTGGCGTGTTTGTGTGCCATCTATTGGAGACTTTCGAGGTTCTCTCTTTTGTGACACAGCTCTTTGAATTGCGTTGGTGCTCAGACAACAAGATCATCAGGGCTTGTTTGCATATCCAGCCCTGAAAGTGTCGCAGGATTTGGGCATGGACTTCCGTCTTGGGGCAAAAGTTGTGGGGGTCTTTTGCGGGAGAGCGATTTGGATGGAAGTCACATCTTAATTGTTTCATTATTGAAAACACCCCAGAAGTGAAACAAGTGGCTCATTTTCGAGGCAAGACTCATGGTCACTTGGCTCATCTCAGCCAGTGCGTGGTTTTGGTGTAAGACTTTCCCAACGGAATCTGCTGCTGAGATAGACTGCCACCAAGTCTTTCCTGCCTGGTGCCAGTTTCGACTGGGTTCTGCCTTGTTTGGTTCCATTTCTCAATTCTTTTGGACCAGACAACGCTGTGCATCCCTCTGGAAAGAGCTGCTTAGCTGGCTCCACTGATTCACAAAGCATTGTCTCAAATCTTGTTCCCTGAAACCTTCAAATATCAACATGCTCCAACATGTGTATAACTCAAATCAACCCATCATCTCCTGCCCCAACAACCTGCCCCGCTCCCAGGTCCCTTTGGCCTTCAGGCCAGGGTGAACGGCCGATTCGTCCCAGGTCGAACGGTGGCCTGCAACCGGGTAACCGCCTCAACCGGTGTACCTGGAGAACTCTCGGTAGCCGCTTCAGTGCTTCGGTCATTGGAAAGACAAAGGACCTGTCATGGCATGTAATGGCCAAGGGTGTGGAAGCCATGGAGAGTGATCCAGGGTGTCGACCTTAAGACTTACGCGCAAGACCACCGAGCGGTCATTCGGGTCAGGTGTTCATCCCGAGACCTTTGCAGACGAGTGCGCCACATCGGCTGTTCCCGCGGCTCGCAGGCGACGTTGCACAAATGCACCCGGCCAGCTATAGGTGATTACTACACCCCGGTGAGGTGAACAGGCTATTACAGTAGAAGTTGTTTGAAGATGTCTTCCCTATCCACAGTTGGCCCTAGGCACGAGCTGGCATACCGTTGCATTGTCTATTGGGTGTCGTTGGATCAGCTCTTGCCGCAAACAGACGGGAGTGTTTGCCTTGCAGATGTTTCTAGTCGTTTCTATTTGAAGGCTTGCAGGACATGGTGGACATGTGTGCCAGCCAATCCTGAACCTGCATTTGATAAGACATCTATAGTCTATAGTATATTTTATATTTAGGCACTTGATTGCTTTTATGTAGATCAAGCCTTCCAAAGCTGCTATGACCAGAAGGAAGGAAAGAACGAAGGAAGAAAGAAAGAAAGAATAAAGAAAGAAAGACCGAAAGAAAGAAAGAAGGAAAGAAAGACAGAAAGAAACAAGATAAAGATCAAAGAACAAAGAAAGCGATAAAGAAGGAAGGATGGAAGAAAGGAAGGAAGTCCACAACATCTCTTCGGTGTCATTGAAGCCATTCCATGGCGACATGCGTGGCACGCCACATCCGTTCCAGGTACACGGTCTCGGTCATGACGATCATTGGCCGAATCCTCATGGGCCTCTACAAGACACGAGACCACGCCCGGGCAACCAAGACATGCCACGGGTTTTCACAGCTGAGATGTTGTGAACCACGGGAGGAGTCTGATATGTTGAATATACAGATAGATTTGATAGATAATTTCAAAATATATGCAGAATGGTCCCTATGCAGACTATAGACAACAAATGGTCCCTATAATAGGGTCTTGATAGATTTGTCAACATTCCCTACAACATCCTACAACATCTACAAAACACTTGGAGTGGCTTGACGAGTCAGGGCCCCCCAAAACAATTCCAGGGACTGGTCTGTGAATTGCTTTGAAAAGAACACTAAAACAATGAAAATAAAGCCTTTTATTGAATTGACAACGCAGGGAAATGACAAAATTAATGCATTTTGTTAAATTGCCTTTGGAAAGTAACCAAATTGCTGTTTTTTTAACAAATTAGTTGAAAGGTAACAGAGGTGCATCCTTACAGGAGGAATCCGAAAGGAAACGAACATGCATCAGTGGTTTTGCGTTGAATTTTATTGCAATCAGAAATGTTTGCTGTATTTTGCTGTATTTAATATGAATCCCTATACAACTCATTCTACAAATCAATTCCACGGCGCCTGTGGACTTATTACTTTATGATTTTTATTGCATTGAGTGATGACTCTACTTAGTAGAGCTACGAAGATATGTCCTCGCACTCTTCGAAGCTGTTTGGGCTGAGAGCAACTGATTTACCCCCCCCGTCGCCCCAATGTGGGTGGCGGGGGGTGTGGACAGAGAAAGATGGATGGCTCACAGATTTGAGACAGGGCAGTTGGTGGAAGGTGCTGTCCGGGATGGTGATGGCCATGCCCGAGGTACGATCCTCCTGGAGATAGCTGCTGCCCTGTCAACGGACGACGAGGGGCACTGGGTGACCGCAAAGTCCATCGGGGCCAGTGACGCCCACATGCAGTGGTGGATAGCGAAGGGAGGTGGCAAGAAGCTCGCATCCAAATGTGCTTATCACTTCTGCGAGGAATCATCCCATGACTGCAAGGTCACTCGTCGAGGTGCTTCCATCCATGTGGAGAAGTTCCGGGTGCTCACCCAGAAGGAGATCGACGGTGGGGTACCGGCCTGGGCGCATGAGAAGGAGATGTCGAAGTCCTTCCATGATTACCTGGAGAAGAGGGGGACGGCACCGAAGCCTGTTGAAGCAAAGGCAGTTTCACCCTGGGCTAGCCCAGGTGAGGAAGGCTCGGAAGACGAATCTGAAGGGTCCATGGAGGAGTGCCCTACGAAGGAGGGCCTAAAGGCCAAGTTGTTGAAGGCCCGTGATGAAGTGAAGAAGCTCGAGCGAGAGCTCGCAGGTAAGAAGGACGCCACGAAGGGTAAGAGAGCGGCGATTGAGCAGGAGGAGGCCAGAAGGAAGAAGAAAATTGCCCTTGAGGAAAAGGGGAAGAAGAAGGACAAGAAGGTCAAAGATTCACCCTCCTTAGGAGGTGTAGGACGGAAGAGAAAAGCAACCAGCGGAGACCCAGAGCATGCAAAGGAGGCTCGTCTGGCAAAGAAAAAGAAGAAGGGCATAGACGAGCCGTCGTCCCCTAGTGAAGAAGTAGTGGAGGAAGGCCTGTTTGGCGAGCTTGCCGGAGCAGCGGAGCGTGCCAGGGCCAAGGAGGTCCGACGTGATCGAGGGCTCTTCGAAGGAGGTGGCATAGTCAGGATTCAAGGGGAGTCCGTTGGTGAGCCCGAGGCAGGCTCCCGCAGTGCCCCTGCCGTTCCAAAAGCTGGCGTGGCTGTCGCAGTGCACCACAAGGGTGCCGTACCACCAGTCCCCAAGGCTCCGCCGGAAGAAATAGGACGCAGGCTCCCTGAGTGCGGGGGAGTCAACCCAGCCAAGGAGGAAAAGGTGTCCCCGCCAGGGGCAGTCTGCGGTCTTCACCCGGGAACAGTCCCCTGGTGGGGCCCATCTGGGGATGAGATCTCACAGGAGGATGAGGACTTTGTGCACCGCGCTGGGCCTGCTGGCAAGCAGGTTGGAGCTCTGGCTGAAAGGCTGCAACGCCCTGAGAGGGGGCAAAGTCCCAAGAAGAAGTCAGGTGAGAAGAGGCCTGAAGAGAAAAGTGAGAGGAGAAGGCGGAGGAAGCGCAAAGGAGAGAGAGAAGAGGAACTGGAGCCGAAGACCATCGCCAGTGCTCCACCTCAGCCCCCCGTGGCAGTGGTTGAAGGAAGCTTGAAGGGCTACTTGGCAGAAGAACGGACACCAGTTGAGTTGTTCTATGGCCTGTGGAGGACGTTTGAGGGCAAGGACACGCCATTGAGTCGCCTGGCGCAGTGGGGTAAGGATCCAGGAGCGCCTCTCGAGGACAAGTCCTCTAAGTCAGTGCGGGGCGACGAGCTGCTGCCCATTAACCCGCAGGCGGTGATAGCCTATCTCCAGGCTTCAGGGAGGCCGAGGGCACAAGGAGTGGCCGCGATGGTGTGCGCTCTCAATTACTTGGCAAGGCCGCAGGGCCAAGGAGGGTGGTGCGCGCGAGAGATCCGGAAGGAGCTCACGCAGTCCCAGAAGTTGACCGTGGACCACCTGAGGCGAGCTTTGGACTACATGGAGGTGCGAAAGTTGAGGTGTGGTCGCTTTGAAGAGACAGCAAGGCATTTGGCTGCCGTGCGCTTTGACTACCAGGGTGAACCGGTGGTGGTGATGGAAGACATCAGAGCTGACAAAGTGATAGCTGCGTGGCCGAAGGTGGGCCAGGCAGCGGTCCAAGATGCATTGGCCTTTTTACCTGAAAAGCTCAAAGCGAAGTTGTTGGACCCCCCTTCCTGCCTCAAGCCAGTGCATGAGTGGCCCGCTGAACCGCACAAGTCGCGAGTGAGGGCCTCGGATGAGGAGTGGAACAAGGTGGTCCAAGCCGCGTATGAGCGTGGACTGATGGTAGCGGTGGAGGTGGATGACGTCTTCAAGGATCAGAAGGGACGTCCTGTCCTCAACGGCGCAGGGGCCGTGAAGAAGGAGAAGAAGGTTGATGGGAAGGTGATAAGCACCCAGCGGTTCATCAGCAACCTGATCCCAAGCAATATGTTTCAAGACCGTCTGGAGGGCGATGACAAGCTCCTGCCGTATCTCGGGCAGCTTACCCTCCTTGAACAGGAGGAGGAAGAGGTTTGGTTAGTGGACTCGGAGGACTTCACGAGTTGCTTTAACCTGTTCCGCCTGCCCCCGGTGTGGCATAAGTTCATGGCCTTTGACAAACCGGTGGATGCAGCTTTGCTGGGGGGAGAGCCGGGAAAAGCAGTGTACCCTGCAATGGCGGTGCTGCCTATGGGCTGGATCAGCAGTGTGGCCGTGGTGCAAAGTATTGTGAGGTCATTAGTCTTCAAGGAGGACGACATCCCGCTAGAGTCTGAGGTGGCCAAGACTCAGCCTTGGCCTGCAGGTGATGACCTGACGGTCATTTACTTGGACTCGTATGACCAGCTGAGGAAGTTCAAGAAAGGTTGCGAAGAAGTGGTGAAGGCTGACATGTCTGAGAGCGCCACAAGCGCTTCCTAAGGGTGTGTGAGGACTTGGCACTGCCACTGAACGATGGCAAGCGGCTGGTGGCTTCAACCTTGGGAGCCCTCCAGGGGGGTGAACTAGACGGAGAAGAGGGCCGTTATGGCCTCTCAGTGCAGAAGATGGTCGAGGAGGTCACCTTGGGCGCCACTCTGTTGGCCAAGGAGAAGTGGTCAGAGGCGGAGTTGAGGCACTTCGTGGGGAAGGCCACATTCGGGTGTTGCTTCAGGCGCCCCCTCTTCGCCATCCTGGAGAGTGTGTTCGGAGAAATCAATGAGAGGGCCAGGCACAGTGATCGGGCGGTTCCTCAGCCAGACTCCTGGGATGAGGTTGCTATCATGGTCCTGCTCACGCCGCTCATGTATACGTACCTGAAGGCGAGGATCGACCCAGAGGTGTCGGTCACAGATGCATCGCCCACAGGAGGCGGAGCTGCGACTGCCGTTGAGTTTCAAGCAGCACCGTGCACCATCGAGAGGGACCCGGCAGTCTGTGCTCAATGCGGCAAAGATATCCCTGGGCATGACCGTTACCCGTGCCCTGCGGAGTGCGGTGCAACTCTTTGTTCACTCTCGTGTGTGCTAACGCATCGGGAAGGTGAGGAGGTCTGCCCCAGGAGAACGTGGAGGATCCCCAAGTTCGGCGAGAGATTCGCAGGGCGAAGAGCCCCACTGAGCCATGCGGTGGCGATGGTGGGAAAGGCCGAGGTGCAGCCGCCATATGACTGGTACTTCGGTGACGACTTTTTCACAGAGGAAGGGAGGCAGACCCTGGCCGATCTGATGGAGGACTTCAGCCGGGCCCGTGGTCGCCCCATCACGTTGAGGGATGGGCGAAAAATTCGGGGGCCTCAGCCGGTTCGAGACGCTCACCACGTCATGGGCTATCCTTGGCTCAAGAGCGACATGAAAGCTAGGGTGCGTCGCTCCAACCAAATGGTGCTCAAGGCCTTAAAGAGAGGCAAAGAAGACAGGAGAGGAACTCGCTGCTATTGGTCGGTAGAGCACCCATGCCGGTCCTGGTTGTGGGAGTTTCGCTTGGTGAAGGATATGGAAGAGTGGCCGGAAATGAAGTGTTCGATTGCTTCGCACTGCTGTTTCGGGGGAGAGAGGGAGAAGTGGTTTGCAATCTTGAGTGACCTCCCCTCACTGCAGAGGCATTTGTCGATGGATTGCCCGGGCCACCCAGGCCTGCGGTCCTATGAAGTTGAGGAGCTCCCTGACGGCACGCTTCGTTTTGACACCGAGGAAGAGGCCGAATACCCCTGGGAGATGTGTGTGGCCTACGCCCGTGCTGTGCGTGAGCAGATCGAGGCAGATGGGCAATTTGATGCCGCAGTGGCGGAGGCCAGGGAGGCTCACTTCCTTGAAGAGTTGGCTTTGGCTACCAATCGGCTGGCGGACCCTGATGTAGCGGGCCCAATGTCGGAGAGCCTCGCCTTGAGAGAGAGCTTCATGGCCAAGGGCAAGGAGAAAGAGCACTTAGCCGCCATGTTGAGGCAGGCAACTTACCGAGGATCTGACGTCAGGTCTTTCCTCGAGGTGGATGGGCGGCTGCATGAGCAGCCTTACCTGGCCATGAGGTGGCAATGGCGGACGGTCATGTCTTATGCATGGCGCCAAGAAGCCCATATCAATGAATTGGAGCTGTTGGCCGTAGCCGTCTTCCTGAAGAGGAGGGCGCGGACCCGATCGAAACAGCATCTTCGCTTTTTTCATGTGCTGGACTCAATGGTGTCCAGAGGTGTGCTAGCAAAAGGCAGGAGCAGTTCAAAGAGGCTCAACAAAGTAGCGCGGAGGTGTAGTGCCTACCTGCTCGCTATGGACGACTACATGTTCCCGCTCTGGACCATCAGCCGATGGAACTTTGCAGACAAGGCCAGCAGGGCTCATGAAGGCTAGCAAGAAGAGCCAGCGGGGCTCAGGCCGACAGCAGGTGGCGGAATTCATTGTGCCTGTTTTTCTTGCCAAGAGGGATGAGCAGTCGGGGACACCTCTTGACAGCACTGAAGCAGTTTCACCCTGGTTGTGGCTTGGCTCCTGCGGACCACCTCAGTCTGGTGTCACGCTGGCCAGTGGGCGTAGTTTTGTGTCAAAAGCCCAAAGCGGTGCTTCAATGTAAGCAACTTTCAACTGAACCAGCCATCTTTACCCCTGTGCAATGGCCCCAGTTTCGTTCTTTTGGCGTTTGAACGTCTTGCGGCTTCGCCAGGGTGGCAGGAAGTGGAAGGAGTGAGTCCTGTGGTGGTGGTTTCCACTGTTCTTCCTGCAGAGAGATGGAGAGGTGAGGCCTACAAGAGGCAACAATCAGGCCATGCAAGATGGTCCT